GATTTGTTTGAAACAAGCTTTTAATACGGAAACACAATTCACATATAGCATATCTATTTGAAACTCCAACAAATAGATGTACAGTGTGAGAATCTTGTTTATGACATCAAATCGGATCCAAACATAAAACACCAAGATTTGCACGGTTATAACAAAGAATCCAAAAATGTCCTTGGGATGAATCAGTCTAGATAAATTTTGATACGATTTCTGAGGTAATCGCAAAGAGAGTTTCAGTATAGTCTGAAGTAAACGCATTCGTAGTCCATTAAAAATGAACGTGACGACTGTCGTAAAACCACCGCAAACGTAGAAGCAGTTAAGTACAAGTGTCCAGGTTACTTTGTTTCTAAATATACGAATAATATTTTTGGAAAAATTAAGATTATATATAGTTATTAGTTCACCAATGCAAAAAATAGTAATAATCATAGTCGATATAACACAGCCTTGTTTGCAAATCTTGATGGTTGATCCATTGATCTTGTATGGAAATATTCCCAGAATGCGACAAAAAGTGAAGCAAGGGTACATCAACGATTCAAAGTCCGTGGCGTGAAATAGCTGCGATATTTTTGCTTTTTTTTTAATTTTGAATCCTTGGAATTTCAATGAATTAAACATGTTTGTCGAAGTATTATGACAGATCAGCAATCTAAATCGTGGACTATAATCATAAAGATTATTAATTAATTATATTATTGTAATTGTGTTATTAATACACTTTAATATTAGTAATAGCGTATTTTACAAAAGTGTCTCTTCCAAGTGTAATTTTTTAATATCTCCACGACGATGCAGTAAACGACATAAACTTCTTGCAGTCGAACTACACTTAAAGTATTTAATTTTGAAACTACTAACATTTTGCTTTGTATGGAGAAACAGGACTCAAGAATTTGTTATTCATGAAGTAACCATGGGTTTTCGCTTATTATCTTCGGAATATAATAGTGATGTATAATTATCGATGTCACGTAGTTCACAATCTTGAGCATCTAGATTATATATCAAGCGAATGAGTATTATCAAGATCTTTCTTAGTCTTTCATTAGCTATATAAATAATTACAAAATTACAGTAAATATATATCGCTGATATAAAGTTAAGAAAAGGATAGAAAATTTTTACTTTAAGTGAAACAAACAATTTACTTGATCAATATAATGTATTTTAAAAATTTGTATATAATGCAAATGATAAAAAAATAATACGAATTGATGAGACAATTAAGAACTTGTATTTGTGTATTCATATTGTTATTGTTTAGCTCATTGTAAGATCTTTCCAATTTTCTATAATTGTTAGCAACGCATCTGCTTTCTGCTATTTTGTGGCATACTGTTAATATACGTATTACAAATATTCCCCTAATTTAATTATATTAATTTGAATTTATTAATTGATATTACTTATGTGTGAGACAAGAATTATTAAAAAATTTAAGTTGTGTTAAGTATATAGTTTAAAATAATATTTCTCAGAAATATTTACAAGTAGAAATTGTAGTTTAACTATGAACACTTATTCCTCATATTAAACATATTCCTCAGAAATATTTGACAATACCGTATAACTGTTTAGTAATATACATATTTATATCCAATAATTCATTTTAATACATTAAATAAGAAATTTCAGATATACATATAAAGTTTAATTTGATTAGCGCTAAATAACGAATGGAATTATTAAAATCAAATATTGCGATATAAATCCATTAACATAGAAAAGTCGATCCAAATGAAGCTAAGAACATGCAATCATATAAAATTTCCATTCTGCAAATACATATATATCGTGCATATGTGAATGGAAAACGAAAGGGAAATTGAGAATAAAGAATTGAATCGATTTCAATGATTCGAGGAACTCGAATTATGAAATTGCATGAAGGCAA